AATTCCAGTGGACTGAGGAAGCGGAGTGTAGCTTTGAGCAAGTGAAACAAAAGATGACTCAAGCACCAGTCTTAGCACTTCCAGATTTTGACAAAGTGTTTGAGGTCAACTGTGATGCATCCGGCATTGGCATTGGAGGGGTGCTGAGCCAGACGGGGCGTCCGGTTGCGTTTTTCAGTGAGAAACTTTCGGGTGCCCAGAAGAACTATTCCACGTATGATCTGGAGTTCTACGCCATTGTTCAGTCACTAAAACATTGGCACCATTATTTAATAGAGAAGGAGTTCATTTTATTTACTGATCACGAGGCTTTAAAGTATATCAATGGGCAGCACAACTTGAATAGACGACATGCCAAATGGGTGGCATACTTGCAGGAGTTCACCTTTGCTCTGAAGCACCAAGCGGGCAGCGTGAATCGTGTTGCCGATGCCTTGAGTCGGCGCAGTCTGCTTCTCACCTCCATGAGCAATCGAGTTACAGGATTTGATGTGTTCGCAGACATGTATAAGGATGATCCTTCATTTGGAAAGATATTTATGGAGGTAATTTCGGGTCAGCGATGTGATTTTATTGTGCACAATGGTTATCTATTTCGAGGGCAGCAGCTGTGCATTCCAGATTGTTCCTTGCGGCAGCACATTATCAGTGAGCTCCACAATGAAGGGCATTTTGGTCGAGACAAGACTCTTGTTCTTGTGTCGGCTGACTTTTATTGGCCAAAATTGAGAAGTGATGTGACCCATTTTGTGGATCGTTGTTTTGTGTGCCAGCGTTCAAAGGGAGTTCTTACTAACGCAGGTCTTTACACCCCATTACCTACTGTTCCTGAAGCTCCTTGGTTTGATGTTAGCATGGATTTTGTGCTTGGTTTACCCCGCACCCAAAGGGCAGCAGATTCTGTCTTTGTAGTTGTTGACAGGTTTTCCAAGATGGCGCATTTTATACCTTGTAGGAAGACCATGGACGCTGCGCGGATTGCTCATCTTTACTTTAAGGAGATTGTACGATTGCATGGAGTTCCACGATCCATCACTTCAGATCGTGACACGAAGTTCATGAGCCAGTTCTGGAAGAGTTTATGGGAAAAGTTGGGCACTCGTTTAAACTTCAGTAGTGCCTATCACCCCCAAACGGATGGTCAGACGGAGGTGGTGAACCGCAATTTGGGCAACCTCCTTCGTTGCTTGGCTGGAAGTAAGGCGAAACAGTGGGACTTAGCTCTTCCTCAAGCAGAATTCGCCTACAACAGGTCGACGAGCAGGACCACTGGCATGAGTCAATTTCAGGTTGTCTATGGTTGGAACCCGACAGGGGACCTAGACTTGGCCCCTATTCCACGTGTGGGGCGTTTTCATCCTAGAGCCGAGGAGATGGCAGAGCATCTGAAGGATATTCATGAGCAAGTGCGGAGTAAGATTGAGGAGAGCAACAACAGGTACAAGGCCCAGGTGGACAAACATCGTCGTCAAGTTCTGTTTGATGTCGGAGATTTTGTTTGGGCTGTATTAACTAAAGATCGCTTCCCTGTTGGCGAGTATGATAAACTCAAGGATCGAAAAATTGGACCCTGCGAGATAGTTCAGAAGATCAATGATAACGCTTACCGATTGCGGCTACCCAGTCACTTGAAAACTTCTGATGTTTTCAATGTGAAGCACCTAACTACTTGTTTCTTGGATTTTAAGGAAGATGATGTGAACTCGAGGGCGAGTTCTTTCCAACCCGGGGTGACTGATGCAGGAGAGGATTAAGGCCTTCATTTTTTAATTTTTGTGTCTTTGGGCCTTTGGCCTATTTTTTAGTTAGCCCATTTATTTTTATTCTTAGGCCCGTTTTGTCTTCCATCTTTTAGGGTTTCAGTCCCTTTGTTTTTCAGCTATTTATAGCCCGGCTTGTGGGCATAATTCATGCAGACTATCATTATTTGAGAAATTTTCCTATACCTAGAGCGGAATTCTTCCCCTAGCGTTTCAATCTTTCCCTTTCATTCGTTGTTCTTCTCATTCTAGCCCTACGCCTTGATTTAATTCGGCGTCAAATTCACAGTGCGCATTATGATGGCTGATACAAAATCTGAAAATCTTAATCGAGTTCAAAAAAGAATGCAATGTTTCCTCGGAAGAACAAGGAGATTATATTGTTTTGATTTGCAAAAGTATAGACGGATGGTTAACATACGGAACTTATTCCAATGAGATCAGAATCATTCAGATCAGGTGAAGAGAACAAGTCCATAGTCAGCTTCAATGTCGTTGATCCTCTCATGAAACACTATATTCAATGTATTGTACAGTTCTGTTAAGTTATTGCATATCATTGTCATCGGTGGGACGTGGGAGCGTGTAGTATTGTAAACCCTAAAGTAATGTTTTGGCCATATCAATTCATATGTGGCTAAAGCCTAGCATTCAGCTTCCTCATTTGATCACATCAAGTTTTATACATTTTCACTAGCAAAAAAAAATATTCAAAGGTGAAACGTCTCTCAACTAGAGAAATTGCCTGGCCAACGTCAAAAAATCGACCCAAGGGTGACCTTTAACTACAGAATACACTATTTATTGGAATGATGCCATCTTAATGAACTTTCCATTTTCACTCGTAAAATGAAATATCCAAACATGAAACATCTACCAACATACCAAGTATATTTGGATTGTTTTGGTTAGGTTGGTTTTGAAATAACTGTCAGTATGAGAACCTACAAAATAACAGACACAACCTGAGGGTGACCTTTGCCATCATAACACATTATTGGTTTCCATGGTGCCTATTTTATGTCCCTTAAGACATGATCACATGAATATAAGTATCACAATCACTCTAGAGGGAAGAGCAAACTTACTGGCATACATTGTTGTAGAAAACACCGAAAAGCCTCAGTTAATCATCCACCTTAGCACTATGCCTCTCCTTGATTGTGGGTCTACTTCAGGTACTCTTAAAATGGAATAGGTTCCCCCATTGGGCACTCGATATACACATGACCATAGGTCGTAGCCACAACACATGTAACAACATTCATCTAAACAACACATCACTTCTTTAAATTACGTTAGAAAAATATTTAAGTTTTCCTCAAATCAGAACCAAAATTTGTAATATTGGACCCAAAAAGTCAAACTTAAACACCATTTTGTGATGGTGGAAAATTACATTGTCTGCAGCAAAAAAACCCCAAACCAGATCCAGATATAATATTGCATACAAGAGCTAAATTTGAAATCTCTAAATTACAAAGATATTAATATACTCCATCCGTCCCATAGAATTCTCGAGAGTTTGACTTCAAAGAATTTAAGAAAGTTGTTGAAAAAGAAAAAAGTGTGTGGTTTGAATTTGTTCCGAGGAGAGGGAATTGTGGGTAGGTACATATTCATTATAACTATAGAAAATAAAGTAACTAATAATTTTTTTTGAAAGGTCCGAAAATTAAAATATTCTATAAAATAAAGTATGATAACATCCAACCAACTAACCAAGCCTTAATTCTGAATCCATGGAGTTGCCATCTTGAGCCAAATGAAAATCTTGTACAAAGTTCTATTTTTACTTTCTTTTATGTCATTATATCTAAGATTAACCAAAAATATAGATACAAATTTAGATGTCGAGAACTTTAACAAGGACTAGAAAGAAAAGTGCTTGGATAAAAAATGACCCATTAATTTGGAGGCTGATTTGTTAACTAACATTGTTTAGGGCCAAAAGGTGCGGTTAAAGGTGAGGAACAACAGACCGTTTGTGGAAATATCAGTATATCACTAAACCTGCACTCAGCTATCATGATTTAATATATCCTTATAAAGAAAACTCACTTAAACATAATATGAATGCGAACACGAATGCATCAGACCTTTGATCTTGGTGTCGGCTTCAGAAAGAAGGGTGAAGTTATTCTCCATGGCCAACTAAGTTCAAAGCAATTAAGTGACCTATAAAAGAAGAAATACAACTAAAGATAAGATGACTACGAGTTATTTACTGTATCCATGACAAGGAGAATTCAAGACTTATACAACCTCAAAAAAGACCTTACCAAAAGTACTCGTTGAAATCATCATAATTTCTCCAAGCTGAATGAGGTGCCCGCCCATTATCATTGTGTCTAGCTTCCTGCATAGATGAAGTTGGTTAGCCAGCTTTGAGCTATCTTCCATCCCTCCCCCTCGGAACAAAATGTCTTTGTATGCAACAAGCTCTCTTAGTTTCCATATCACTAGCTCTCATAGTTTTATGTATATTTATAAATATACACAAGCATGCACACATACATATACACATATTGTCATGATAATGCAATAATGAGAATTGAAACTACGCCATATGTACATGCACAACAAAACAAATGATCTGCAATGGATGGAACTTCAAATACAAACCAGTATTCCCAACAGTGCAGTAACTTTCTGAATCCTTAGTGGTAGCTTATTCAATTCAATATCAACAAGTATGCTCCTATTAGCTATGCTTCTCTGAATCTCGTCATATACTCTCTCAACCCTGCAATGGCACAAGAAGAGAGATGAATCTTTCTGACCAAATAACTTGCAAGCCAGAAATATTTTCCTTAAGACATCAACTTACCACTTCTTACCCTCAGTATCCAACACAGATGTGAGAACTAACTTGAGGGTATAATAACACTCTTGAACAGCATATTTCATGTATTCGTCCCTTAAAATCCTGTCCCATACCTCCTCTTGCGAAAGTCTGGGCTCTTTACCGTCAATAGCAGTATCTTTAGCAAGAAATATCTGTGCAAGAGGCAAAAGACATACATACCAGGAAGAGAAATAACAATATGTGCATACTTAACTAGCATAGAAACAAAACAAGTATTATAATTTCTGATAGCAACCTTGCTTGCTAGAAGGAACAGAGGCCAATGAACCAAGGGAATATTGTCTATTATCCCTGATTTTTTAGTCATTAAAAGCAACTCCATTTCCCTGTATATTAAAGAAGATGAATGTGTGTCTAGTGAACTTTAGTGAGCAGTCAATGAATAAGATCTGATAACAGAAAATGCCATGGCCACAAGTAAAACTCACAAACTATTAATGTAGTCTTCATTCCAAAAAGGAGCAAACTTAGCAGCATCAACATTGTTCCTCTCTAGTTCCTATCAATTGAACAGTATCATTTAATAATCAATTTAATCAAAATCAAATATAAGAAAGCAACTACTCCCACTGAATGCAATGATATAGCGTCCTTGCTATTTTCACATGTCTAACGAAACAATGGTACATCATAATATCAAAATGTTTTTTTATTTATCCAAAACAGGTTGATAGGATGGGGATGGCGCCCAAATGGCATTGCCAAAACAGCAAGCAAAATGCAAAATATCTGCACCAAATAATTATGTTGTGTTAAATCCAGGATGCCAATAGTTACTACTTTACTTATCCAAACAGTTATACACCAATAGACAAAATTGCAGTACATAAGCTTACGAATTCAC